CATCCGTCCGTCCGTCTGTCCCTCCACCCACCCGTCTGCCTGCCTGTCCGTCCATCCATCCGTCCATCCTTCCATCCATTCCCATACCTGCCTCACGGTTCTTCACAGCAGTTATCCCTAACAGAGGATGCCAGTTTCCTGGGTTCATTTTCTGTGTTTCCTATAAGGTCAGTTCTGAGGCAGGAGGGCTTGTCTGCACTGCTGGTTTTTGTCTCAGCAGTGCCCAGTGCAGTTCCCGGAGCTCAGTAAGTACATGTCCACTCTCCTGGTGCTGGGACTTCTCCAGCTCACCCTAGGCCCAACAGCCTCTCTTTTAAATCTCTCCTGCTCTCCTCTTTGCCAAAGAAAGCTGTCGTCTTCCTTCTGCTCCCTTTGGCCTCTTTTGCCAGTTAAAGGAGCTTTGAGTTCACACTGATGGACTGTCTGGGCCTCCAACTTCTGAGCACCCCAAAGGTTAGGGGAGCACAAAGCTTACACAAAGCCATGTTAGGAAACAAGCCAAGATTCTGCAGCAGGAGTTTTGGCCTCTTCCTCCCCTTGTAACCAGACTTTCTGCAGTTGCAAACCTATGCAGCTCTCCATTTTTTTCAAGCATTTTGGCTCGAGCAGTTCGGAATGTGTCAGCACTACATAAGAGATGCAGAGAGCTTTGGTAAGAAAAGCTAAAAACTTCTGATGATTTGGAGGGTCTGTTGGTCCTGTGGGTGATGTTTTCTCTCTTATACTAATCTATACATTCAGTTCTGTCTGTGTTACCTCCACTTTCTGTACTGCTTCTTAATTGTAGTTACTTCTTACCTGGGAACTTGGATAATCTAAACCTGTGCCCCATCCAGTCTCTCTCCCTAGAGACTGTCCTCCGGCACCAGCCAGAAGAGGCTTCTGAAAACACAGGTCAGGTGATCTCTGTCTCCTACTTTAAAATCACACAGAGCTCCTGGTTCACTGTGGACAAGGTGCATGCTACGGTTGGTGTCTGGATGTCCCCTTAAGCCACATGCAGTCGTGGGTTGGGCTTCTAGAGTTTCATCATGAGCCAGGATCTAATACCGGGAGTGTGGGTGTGGGTCTGCACTGCCCTGGGGCAGACAGCGTGACTGCAATGCTAAGGAGGGAGGGAGCCTTGCTCTCTGCTGCTGCTCCTCCCTTCTTGCTCTTTTTTCTGCTTTCCACCACCATGAGCTGCTGCCCTCTGCCATGTGTCACCCTGCCTTGCAGCCAGCTGCGTATGGACTGAAACCTTCACAAACTGGGAGCTGCATCAACCTTTCTGTCCTTAGTTCTGGATGTCTGGTATTCTGTCCCAGCAACGAGAGAGAAGGAGCCGAGACAGTGCAGACATCTTGCGTGGGTGTGCAGCATGCCGGCAGCGGCCCCGCAGCGCACTCCCGCTTTCTGGAGCCAGTCCTCCTGCAGCTCTCCCGAGGTTCGTGGGTCATGCTGTGGGCCTTCTCAGGCTCCTGTGCTGGACATGCCCTTCCCCTCGCTCAACCTCAGTTGCTTTTGCTCAGTTTCTGATTCCACTCAGAATGTCTTTCTCAGAGAACCTGGCCCAGTGCCCGGCTGTCCTGCGGTGCACCTCCGGAGCATCGCGTCCTTCCCCTTTCTCCTCTGCTTCTTGCTGCCTGCCCATCAGATCTGGTCAGAGCACAGGGAGAAGGCATATCCATCCCTTGTGTTAATTACGGTGTCCTCAGCTCTGAGAACACTGCCTGGTGAGTGAGTTAAGGCTCGACAAACTTTTCTGGACTGGGTGGAGGCTCTGTCTGTGTTCACCTCCCCGACTGGGGAGCTGTGGCCCAGGCACAGTACCTGGTACATTGCAGGCACTCAAGTAATACTGTTGGAGGAGCACTTGAGCCCGCTGGGAGGCACCGCTGCGTCAGGCTCACCATCAGGCAATGCTGATACACGCCTAGGTTTTGGGTCACAGTCTGGCACTTGGTCTCCAAAAGGTTCTCTATCCCTGGTCCAAAGTTCCTGCTATTCCCAGAAGGGAGGTTCTGCATCCAGGCTTGCTATAGTTCATGTCTGATGTCTCCCAGAGCCTCCTTGGATCATAGGTTGGGCTTTGCAGAGGTGGCTGGACCCAGAGTACGTGGAGGTGGGGTTAGGGTGTGATGCTGGGATTAGGAGTTGGTGCTCACTGCATGAGTCAACTGACTGGTTTGGCATAGTTCTGGGTGTGGACAATGGGAAGGGCCACCCTGGGCATAGGTGACAGCACCCAAAGGGCAGGTAGCCTCGAAGGGACAGAAGGAAGAGGAAGGCTGCTGCTGCTCCACTATGTTGTCGCCTGGCTGCCCCCTGCCCACCACGCCCTGTTCCTTCTCTATGACACCCCTCCTCTGCTGCTGCCGCCTCACTACATCGTCACCTGACTGCCCCCTGCCCACCATGCCCCATTCCTTCTCTATGACACCCCTCCTCTGCCATGCTGCTGCCCCACTAAGTCATCGCCTGGCTGCCCCCTGCCCACCATGCCCCATTCCTCCTCTGTGATGCCCCCCTCTGCCATGCTGCCCTGGCTCGGAGCCAGCTGACTATGAACTGAAACCTACAAACTGGGCTGCAAGAAACCCATCCTCCTTTCATTTTGGTACTGGGAATTTTGTCTCAGCAATGAGAAAAATAAGGCATTCTCCCACTTTCAATTATTTCTGTGGGATGTCTGATGAACTCTCGAACACCACTTTCACGAGCGTACTGTTCCTACTTAACACCCTTTAAATATCCACCTCTACTTGCCAAGGGCACAGCCCCTGCACTAGCCTAGCATTCAAGGCCCTCCCAGAGGCCACTTTCTTTCCCAAGTTCTCACACCCCTCACAGAACAGCTCTCAGGCTCCTGAGCGTTTCTTGTATCGACAGCATACACGGTGGTCTGCAGGGACCGTCCCCCAGAGCCAGGCATGCATGGGACTCTGTCCACCTGAGAGCAACTGGGCCTCCAGGCCAGAAAATGTCGCACACTGCGAGGGTGAATGCACACCAGTGGGGCTGAGGCGAAGGTCCGGGCCTGCCCTGGTGGACAGCCAATTCGGAGGCCCGCTCCCTCAACGGGCTCATGTCTACCCCAGTTTAGCCTGCCTGCCTGCCAATGCAGTGGTGTCCTACAGCTCTTTTCAAAGAGACAAGTGCTGCACATGCTGCGTGGCCTTCTCTTGGACCCATGGCACCTTTTCCACCTTAGTCCAATTTCTCAAACCCTTTCTGCCTATGTGAATCTCATCTCTCCTTCTGCACTCATTCCTGAAGTACCGCAGAGGCTCTGGTCTGTCCAAATGACCTTTCTCTCAGAGTTCCAACACTTGACACCTTTCTCTGATTTACTCCACGGTCCCCCAGGCCTGTTCTGCCCCGGCACTCGCATCCAGGGCCCTGTGGGGACTGCCGCCCTGTCTCGCTGACGCGGAGCAGGCTGGATGCGGACTGGAGCCTTC